CCCGGCTCCTGGGTGGCTCAGCCGGTTAAGCGTCTGACTTCAGCTCAGGTCATGATCCCCTGGGATCAAGCCCTGCATCAGGCTCCCTGCTCAGCAGGGAATCTGCTTCTCCCTCTGCCTGCCCCTCCCCCTGCTTGTGCTCTCTCTCTTCCTCTCTCTAACAAATAATAAATAAAATCTTAAATAAATACATAGTCCAGAGAACGCAAAGGAAGGAGCAGGGCTGCAGACTGTTATAGAGGGAAGCATTCAGGGAATAAGGAAAGAGTATTTGGCTTCAGTTGATGGGCTGGGGTTGTATATCTGACTTTATTTAGAGCAAGGAAAGCATTACGGATAAATGACCAAACATTCCAAAACAACTATGGTTACCAATCAGAGTTACATTTACCTCCTCACAGCATCCAACAGACAGCAATGTGTTCCTTCATGGACTATCGTTCAGATCACTTAACACTGGTCCAAATTCTAGAAGTCCTTTTGGATACTTTCTTACGGATACACCCACAGTCACTTCTCCTTTGCAGTCCTGCTGATGACAAGTGGGTACACTGCTCTCCAAGACTGCCGGTACGTCCTCGTGGTTCTGGCAAGAGGTACTGACACAAATATGATTTAAGTGCTTGGTATCATGCGTGAATGAGAAGTTAGATTAATGACCTCCACATACATCTCTCTCTCTCTCTTTTTAAGATTTTATTTATTTTAGAGAGAGAGGTGGGGGAGGAGCAGAGGGAGAGGGAGAGAGAGAATCTTAAGCAGGCTCCACGCCCAATATGGAGCCCGACATGGGGCTCGATCTCAGGACCGAGATCACAACCTGAGCCAAAATCAAGAGTTGGTTGCTTAACCAACTGCACCACCCAGGTGCCCCCCATCTTGACCATCTTTAAGCACAGAGTACACTGGTATTAAATACCTTCACTGTGTTGTACAACCATCACCATCACCCATCTCCACAGCTCTTTTCATCTTGTAAAACAGACACTCTATACCCATTAAATAAAAGCTATCCATATCCCATGCCTGCAACCCCCGGCAAGCACCATTCTACATTCTTACTCTACATACCTTATATAGGTGGGATGATGCATTATTTGTCCTTTTGTGTCTGACTTCTTTTACTCAGCATAGTCCTCAAGGTCCACATGTAGCCTGTGTCAGAATTTCCTTCCTTTTTTTTTTAAAGATTGTATTTATTTGACAGAGAGAGACACAGCGAGAGCAGGAACACAAGCAGGGGGAGTGGGAGAGGGAGAAGCAGGCTTCTGGCCAAGCAGGGAGCCCGATGCGGGACTTGATCCCAGGACCCTGGGACCATGACCTGAGCCGAAGGCAGACGCTTAACGACTGAGCCACCCAGGCGCCCCAGAATTTCCTTCTTTTTTAAGGCTCAACAATATTCCATTATATGTATATATCACTTTTCGTTTATCAGTTCATCAATTAATAGACACGGGTTGCTTCTACTTTTTGACTGCTATGAAAAATACTGCTATGAACATGGATATGCAAATATCTCTTTGACAACCTACTTTCAATTCTTTTTAGTATATACCCAGAAGTGAACATGCTGGGTCATACAGTAATTTTATTAGAAAGTGATATATGGTTTTCCATGGCAGATGCGCCAATTTTCATTCCCACCAGTGTCCAAGGATCCCAATTTGTCTACACTCTCACCAACCTTGTTATTTTGTTTTTGATAGAATTCCTAAGGGTGGTGAGGTCATTCCCTTTACTCCTTCAATCACGCTTTCCTTTAGTTATGAATATACTTGTAACGTCTACTTTGAAATATTTTTTTCTGCTAAATCTGACATCTGTTAAACTCTCATATGCATTTTCTGATGCCTGCTTTTTCATCCAGCGTACGAGTCATACCTTCCTGTTTCTCAGCATTTCTCATGATTTAGTTGCAACTGGACATTTGAGATAATATATTGCACTTTGTGGGTATGCCCCACTCTTCCAGGCCTTGTTTGTGCTGTCTTTTGTTGTTTAATGACTTCCTGGTTATCTTGGCAAAGTCTATTTCTGCCTGACAGTGTTAAGCCTCCGATGTTGCTCTTTGGCAGAGAACGGGGTATACAGCTTTGATTATGTCCACCGTCATCTACAACATTGGTATTGGCAGGAATCTCTTCTACTCTTTCTTGGACCACACTGAGTTGATAAAATGGACTAACTGCTGACAGATGGCTCTACTGTTTTCAACCAAGTCCTGGGACAAATCTGCCCCACAAACTAATCCAAACATACTGTGGATCCTTTATAGTAACACTACCTGAGGGTAGTGTTTGATATTTGCTCGGAGCCTTAGCAGACTCCTCTTAGCAGTCTTATTCCCTGGTTCTCTCCTGTGAATGAGGGGACCTAGAGACCAGATCTTCATTAAATCCACAAATCTCCTGCCAATTTTTTGTGTCTATTTCCTGTCTTTGGCTGGTACCTCTCCTTATCTGTAGTAACTGAAGTTAAGTCTTTGCCAAGAGATTACAAGCCATTTTATAGTTTGCTTTCCCCTCACCATCAGGCATAATTCCTCTGCTTAGAGCTTTGGAGCATGGGTAGGGACAATGGCAAGCTTCTGTCTGAATTACATTCTCTTTCTAGGAACTAACTACTCAGTGGAGGGAAGGGACAGCAGCTTGATGTTCTGCTTTTGTCTCTTGGTGGCATGGAACCACCAACTTAGGAGCTGAGGCAAGGGTGATCAGGGTCCCAGTATTAGCATACCATGCCCGTTGCTAAAGCCTATGTAACATGAGCAGGGGCTGGGTGCAAAAAGCATGCTCCCACTTCTCAAGCATACTCACGTACAATACAACCTCATATAATGGGTAGCTAGAGATAGGATGAGAAATGGTGAAGTCCTGTTATTCCTAGGGGGAAAAAGCCTTCCAAAAGTAAGCTGGGCGACGCCTGGGTGGCTCACTCAGTTAAGAGACTGCCTTCAGCTCAGGTCATGATCCGGGGGTCCTGGGATCAAGCCCCACATGGGGCTCCCTGCTCAGCGGGGAATCTGCTTCTCCCTCTCCCTCTGCCTGCTTCTCTCCCTGCTCATGCTCTCCCTCTGTCAAATCAATGAAATCTTTAAAAAAAAAAATTAGAAGTATCTAATACAGTATTTTTAAATATAGTTATGTTATACGTTAAATCTCTATAGACTTGTTCATCCTACAAAACTGCAACCTTGTACAATTCGGCCAACAACTCCCCCATTTCCCCCATCTACCATCACCTGACAACCACGGTTCTACTTTTTTTTTTTTAAGGTTTTATTTATTTATTTGACAGAGAGCAAGCGAGAGAGGGAACACAAGCAGGGGGAGTGGGAGAGGGAGAAGCAGACTCCCCGCGGAGCAGGGAGCCCGATGCAGGACTTGATACCAGGACCCTGGGAGCATGACAGGAGCCGAAGGCAGACGCTTAACGACTGAGCCACCCAGGCGCCCCTACTTTTTTTTAAGAAGGCTCCATGCCCTGCATGGAGCCCAACGTGGGGTTGGAACTCACAACCCTGAGATCAAGGCCTGAGCCGAAATGAAGAGTCTGAGGCTCAACTGACTGAGCCACCCTGGTGTCCCCTACTCTGCTTCTATATGACTTTTTAGATTCCACAAAGAAGTGAGATTGAGATCATGCATTTCACTTTGCATGATGTCCTACAAATTCATTCATGTTGTCAAATGGCAGGATCTCCTTCTTTGCTAAGGCTGAATATTGTTACACATTCAACAATTTCATTATCCATTCATGTGTCGAGAGACACTTAGGTTGTGTCCGTAACTTGGCTACTGTGAATGTTGTAATAAATGGGAATGCAGACATCTCTTGCAGGTACTGAACTCCTATCTTCTGGATATATAACCATAAGATGGTTGTTGGACCATATGATTGGCTCTATTTTCAGTTTTTGGAGGAAACTCCATACTGTTTGCCCCAATGGCTATACCAATATATACTCCCTTTGGCAGAGTACAAGTGTTGTCTTCATGTCCTTACCAACCAAAACTTGTTTCCTTAGGTACTACTGTTGAAAGGCAACTTAGAATTCTCTTGCCTTAGTAGAAATTCACATTGCAACAATGTGCTTTAAGAAAGAGGCTCAGTATGGGGCGCCTGGGTGGTACAGTCAGTTAAGCATCTGCCTTCCGCTCAGGTCATGATTCCAGGGTCCTGGGATGGAGCCCAACACTGGGCTCCCTGTTCAGTGGGGAGTCTGCTTCTCCCTCTGCCTACTCCCCAACCCCCCACAGCCAACTTGCAATTAACAGCCTAAATGGGCCCAAGCAAAATTTGTTAGCACAGAGTATGTTGCCTCCCAAACACCAAAAGACCTAGCAGATGCTGTGTTTGCTGAAAGGGATTACACCTATTTCCTCATAGGGTCAGGGAAGGAGCAGCTGTCTTTCAGAAATTTAACCAAGGGATTAGGGCCTCACAGCCTATGTGGGTCGATGGCCCATCCACTTTATGAGAGCTCCTTTTTCACTGAATATGAAGCAAATGTCCTCAGAGAACGATGCCATTAGTAAGGCCCCATCTGTGCTCCTTGGAGCAAGGTGGATGCAGTTCAGATCTTGCCCACAGAGACTGTGGATGGCAAGGCTGCTGAGGCTCCCCGAGGGCAACCAGGTAAAGGTGTCTCGCGTCACTTCAGAGAGGAAGGCCTGATACATTCAAGAATATGGGAAAATAGGCACTAAACAGAACAGACTTGGCCAAATCTGTGATGTGTACCAGTTGCTGATTGGATGGAGTAACTGACATCATACCAGGGGCTGGGAAGGTTGCCAGGTAGACTGGGGAGACCTTAGGCCCTGAGGCCTAGACCCAGCCCATCCAAAAAATGTTGCCAGAGGCTCTTAGTCTCATCATAAGAATTTAAGCACAGATCCAACAGAGCTAAGAGCACTACAAGCAGGAAAATTATTTAAAATAAAAGTATACTCTCAGCAGGTGAGCTCAAGGAGAGCTGTGTCCACTGGGGTTTCGGTTTCTATCTTTTATTGACACTTGTTAACAAGGTGGTGGAACATTCATTACTCTGGCAGGCATTTCCTTGAAAGCTGGGTGGTGTCTTCCAGGAATGTGGGTTACACATTTTCTTCCTTATGGTCCGAGGTTTCCTGTCATGGCACCCTTAGGGAAAAGTGTTTAGCGTGGTCATGGAGTACAATGAAGGAATAACATGGTGAACTCTGGCCTAGCCTGTCAGCCATCTTGGGCCTGTCTGCTTTGATCCGGTTTCTTGTGGTTTTGTTTTGCAAGGACAGACCTCGGACCTTCCATAGTGAGGCATCATTCCTTCTTCCTAGGTTTAAGAACAGAGCAAATAAAGCTATTTAAAGGAGAAGGCTGGGGCTAATCACTCCCTAAATAGATTTCTCACAATGGTTTCCAATACTTCAATGCCTTGACGACTTTACAGTGGGCCATTAATAACTAATTTAATTGGGAGAAGGGGGTAATTTCAGTGGGATACCATTTTGTCAAGCCAATGTAAAAGTAGTGAAGACATTTTACTTGTAATTTAGGAATCATGGATTCAGAACGTCTCTACTCATTATGGGTTATTTTAGGACAATGTGTGATATGATATGAGAAATGTAGGCAACTGATGATTCAAACGAGCAAAACTTAAGTAACACTTATTTCTCCCCTATATTTTACTCAACAATTCCTCTTCCATCATGAGTTAAATTGCTTAAATTTAGTGGGATTCCCAGACTTCCTTGTAATTTGAAGCCTAGTTTATAAAGACTGGAGCATTAGTGCGTTACAGATGTTAATACTAATTCACAACCCATGTTGAAGATGAAAGCCCAGCAGATTTCTTTTGTTATGTAAATTCTTTTAGTCTCTTTGAGTTTCCAATTGGGTCAAATTGTGGACCTTTGTTTCAGTACCACTTTTCTCATGTTCCCTCCCTACTGTCCTTTCCCCGTCTTTTAAGTCACTGGATATACTTTTGGGGGTGGGAGGCTACCCCTCTACTCTGGTATTCATAAATTCTTTCTTCCTGAGAGCCTCAAATCAGTGCCATTAGGATTAGTGGCCTCCCCCACTCCCCCCATGACAAGTGGTTGCTTTATAGAATTTAAGTACCGTGGGCTTAAATCAGTTTCGACTACTCCCATTGGTGGATAATGTCCCCCCAAAACCTGGAGACTCAGGATCTGTGTTACAGTAGAGGCAGGGGTGATAGGCAGTACCAGAGGGACTATAAGGGTCCTGGTGAGCCCTCTGGTATTAAGACTGTGGAACTCAGGGGCTCCTGGGTGGCTCAGTCATTAAGCATCTGCCTTCAGCTCAGGTCATGATCCCGGGGTTCTGGGATCGAGCCCCGCATTGGGCTGCCTGCTTGGTGGGAAGCCTGCTGCTCCCTCTCCCACTCCCCCTGCTTGTGTTCCCTCTCTCACTGTGTCTCTCTCTGTCAAATAAATGAATAAAATCTTAAAAAAAAAAAAAAAGACCATGGACTCAGCCTACGAGCTACTGACTGCCTTTCCCTATCTCTGCCCTCTCTTTCTTTGAAATACGTGCTCTTTAGGGGCACCTGGGTGGTTCAGTGGGTTAAGTAAGCATCCAATTCTTGGTTTTGGCTCCGTTCATGATCTCGGGGTCCTGGGATCGAGCCCTGCGTCAGGTTCTGTGCTCAGCGTGGAGTCGGCTTGAGATTCTCTCTCCCTCCAGCTATGCTCTCATGCACTCTCTCTCTCTCTCAAATAAATAAATAAATCCTAAAAAAAAAAAAAAAGAAAACCTAAACCCTGCTCTTTAGAAGTGACCATGCAATGGATTCACCTCATTCACAAAGTATAATCATCCTTGTGCACCCCAATACCCCACCTAATGCTGGGGCAACCCCAGCCTCATTCACAACTTCACTCTAAATACAGGTAGGTTCCAGGACACCTAAGTAACTCAGTCGGTTAAGCGTCTGCCTTCAGCTCAGGTCATGATCCCAGGATTCTGGGATGGAGCCCGCATCCCCGCATCCCAGCTCCCTACTCAGCAGGGAGTGAGCTTCTCCCTCTCCCTCTCCAGCACCACCCTCCCCCTCATGCTCTCTGTCTCTCTCAAATGGAGGGGAGGAAGGAAGAATTGGGACTGTTTGAAATGCCCTGAGGCTGCCGCAGCCCCTCTGGCCAACCTAATAGTCTTTAATCTTTAGCAAATGCCCTTCCCTGGGTGATTGATTGGCCGGCATGATTAATCTTTCTTTGTATATCCATAGATCCTGCGTTAGTTCCTAGAAGGAATACAGCACTCCAGCAGGGTAGGAAAGAGTAACCAGACCCCCTTGCACAACCCCTCCCTCCCCCGCGCTAAGGAACCAGACCCCCTCTAACCACTGAGACATCTGTAGCTGGCACTATCGCTTCTGCACCTAATTAAGAAATATTAAGGACTACTGCATTCCCTTTACTACTTAACTGCCCTAAACGCCTTTAAAAATCCCTGGGCCAGACAGAAACCTCCAAGCCTCCTGAATAAAGCTCAAATTCCTTTCCAATCTCCTCTCTTGGGTACTGGCAGCAGAACGTGGGGTTTCCATAACAGCCCCACTTGTAGGACAAATAGTTGATGATGCTGTGAATCTGAGAGGGGGAAATTGGAGTCTGAGAAGCTGGGGAGACATCTGGGAATTTGGGGATTTACTGCCAGCCCTGGGAAGAACCAGACTGGGAGACAGGGTCGTGGTTTCAGACCCTGCTCACCAAACATGTGGAAAACGCAGGAGAAAACGGATCCCCCTGAGGGGAAAGGAGGGAACCCTACAGACCACAGAACCTCCCAGTCATGAACCCCGGAGACCAAGTCAGGATTGTCCCCTGACGACCCTCCCCGTGGTCACGCCGCACGCAGTGGCGGACAGGGCGCCAGGGTCCTGGCTCGCAACCCCAGTCCCCAGGCTGCGCACCGGGGGGGTGGGGAGGGGGGAGAACTGGGGTCCGTAGTCTCCGGAAATGACCGCGGGGGTCCCGCCACAGCCGGTTCGGTGGGTTCCAACCCACCCCTCCGCCCTGTCTCTGCATCCTGAGGAAGCACACTCACCATTTCTCCATTTTCTGTGTGCCCCACGTCCTTCCCAGGACTCCCACGACCAGTGCAGAGCCCAGAGCGACAGAGGCAGCTGCTAGCACAGACACCAAGGAGCGTTAAGGGGCTGGGGACAAGAAGTGAACCCAAAAGCCAGCCCTAAACCAGTAGCAACCACTTCGAGAGTTGCACCGCGTGGTCCCACCCCGCTGACCCAACGGAGCCCCTGATTGGACAGTTCACGAGGCCACACCTCCTCACATCTGAGTGACAGCAGGGCAAGAAAACTGCGGGGTTCCTTCCAATCAGCTTGGGTGGGGGGAAGGGGTGGCCACCTGGCACATTTGCATTTATTTTTTTTTTAAAGATTTTATTTATTTATTTGACAGAGAGAAACACAGCGAGAGAGGGAACACAAGCAGGGGGAGTGGGAGAGGGAGAAGCAGCCTTCCCGCGAAGCAGGGAGCCCGATGCGGGGCTCGATCCCAGGACCCTGGCACCACGACCTGAGCCGAAGGCAGCCGCTTAACGACTGAGCCACCCAGGCGCCCCAGTGGCACATTTGCATTTAAACAGAACTTTTTCTGAATTGGCAGTGACTCCAACAACACCACATTCCAGTACTGTAAGTCTAACCACAATCGTGGGATGTGTTCATTAAATGATCAGGTTTACTTTATTTAAGTAGGCTCCACGTGGGCCCAACGTGGGGCTTAAACTCACAACTGCGAGATCGAGTCGCACGCTCTACCCACTGAGCCAGCTTGATGCCTCAATGAGCAGGTTTCATTAAATGCACATTTTACAGTGGGAGGAAATTTACTTTAGATCAGCTTTTACCTGTCCCTAGAGAATTTTGAAATGTAAACGACTATAATATCCCTAAAGCAATTGAATTCCTTAGGGATATTCCCATTTTCACTGATACAAGAAAAATAATAAATCATCATGTATATGTGGGAAGCACCTGGAAATTCCCCCCTTAATTGAGATTTAAGTGACTAATAAGATTGTCTGTATTTAAAGACCACAACATCATGATTTGAGATACTCTGAGAGTGGATCTTGATGTAGGAAAGATGTTGGGATCCAGAGCCCACAGCCAAGAAAGAATTCCTGAGACGTCTTTGGTGCAAAAAAAGGGGACAGGACCGGTGGACAGCAAGAGCCGCACTGGGGTGTTGAGGAGTGGCACATTATGTACTTTCAAGTTGGGAGGGGGTTAGGGATAGTGCAAGCCTCCAAGGAATTTTGGAAGCAAGGTTTCCAGGACCTTGAGTTGAAGGTGATGAGGGAGCAGAAGGCTAGCCGAACACAAAGCACAGGCTGACACCCCGCCCCTGCTCCACCCCCCTCCTTCCCCCACCTCCCGGGTGGGATCTGTGTGACATTCCTCCAGGAAACTCCCAACTGTCTTAATGTTAATGCCTTACTAGAGGGAAAAACAACCTTAACCTGACAATGGCAAGGCCTCCAGTGTCTTGTAGGTCCTCTTTAGCATGTAAAAGTTCTTTGGAAAACCTCCCTTTTCCCCTACCCCCAAATCCCAAGTATATAATCAGCCACCCCTCACAACCCCGGGGGCAGCAGCTCTGCCCAAGGGTCCTGTCCCCATGCTTTAAATAAAACCACCATTTGGCACCAAAGACTTCTCAAGAATTCTTTCTTGGCCTTCGGACCTCACCCCACCAAACCTCACCTACATTCCAAAACTACATCAAGGGGGCTAGCTATTGGGCGCCTGGGTGGCTCAGTTGGTTAAGCGACTGCCTTCGGCTCAGGTCATGATCCTGGAGTCCCGGGATCGAGTCCCACATCGGGCTCCCTGCTCAGCAGGGAGTCTGCTTCTCCCTCTGACCCTCTTCCCTCTCGTGCTCTCTATCTCTCATTCTCTCTCTCTCAAATAAATAAATAAATAAAATCTTTAAAAAAAAAAAAAGGGGGCTAGCTATTGTTAGGAAAAGGTCATTTATTACTGTCTAATAAACCCTTAGTCACGAGACCCTTCAGATATATATATTATGGGTCATATGCTTGGGAGTTGATTGCCAACACGTATCTTGTTGCCAACACGTATGAAGTTTCCAAAGGAATTTCTTTTTTTAAGATTTTATTTATTTATTTGAGAGAGAGAGAATGAGGGAGAGAGTGCACAAGCCAGGAAAGGGGCAGAGGGAGAGGGAGGAGCAGACTATCTGCTGAGCAGGGAGCCCGATGTGGAACTTAATTCCAGGACCCTGGGATCACGACCTGAGCTGAAGGCAGACACTTACCCAACTGAGCCACCCAGGCACCTTCCAAAGGAAATTTTTTTTTTTGATTTTATTTATTTATTTGACAGAGACACAGCAAGAGAGGGAACACAAGCAGGGGGAGTGGGAGAGGGAGAAGCAGGCTTCCTGCCGAGCAGGAAGCCCGATGCGGGGCTGGATCCCAGGACCCTGGGATCGTGACCTGAGCCGAAGGCAGATGCTTAACGAATGAGCCACCCAAGTGCCCCCCAAAGGAATTTTTATGTGTTAAAGTAGACTTACAGGATCCTGAAGGTTGGGCTAAGATTGCCTTTTGCCCTAAGCAAAGTATTAACATCCAGGCAGTTGAGTTCCTAGAGGAATGTCACTCTGCCTGTTTCAAGGACTTGTCAATGGGCTGTTAAGTAGTGAGGAAATTTAATAATTTTTCTTTTGCCTTTGTTTCCCCGATCTGATCTTAAACCCTATCACAAACACAGCTAAAAAGAAACCACAGGCCCCTGATGTAGTTACACAGGTTAAGGCCCCAAGTCAATAAACTAAAACTTTTTTTTTTTTAAAGATTTTATTTATTTATTTGACAGAGAGAGAGATAGCGAGAGCAGGAACACAGGCAGGGGGAGTGGGAGAGGGAGAAGCAGGCTCCCCGCCAAGCAGGGAGCCCGATGCGGGGCTCGATCCCAGGACCCTGGGATCATGACCTGAGCTGAAGGCAGACGCTTAACTGACTGAGCCACCCAGGCGCCCCAATAAACTAAAACTTTTAACACCCAACTTACATGCAGTTTCAACCCCCACCCCCCCCATGAAAAAATGCTCAACATCACTCGGCATCAGGGAAATACAAATCAAAACCACAAAGAAACCACTTCACACCAGTCAAAATGGCTAAAATTAACAAGTCAGGAAATAACAAATGCTGGCGAGGATGCAGAGCAAGAGGAACCCTTCTACACTGTTGGTGGGAATGTAAGCTGGTGCAGCCACTCTGGAAAACAGTATGGAGGTTCCTCAAGACATTAAAAATAGAGCCTACCCTATGACCCAGCAATTGCACCACTAGGTATTTACCCCAAAGATACAAATGTAGTGATCTGAAGGGGCACCTGCACCCCAATGTTTATAGCAGCAATGTCCACAATAGCCAAACTATGGAAAGATCCCAGATGTCCATCAACAATGAATGGATAAAGAAGATGTGGTATAGGGCGCCTGGGTGGCTCAGTTGGTTAAGCGACTGCCTTCGGCTCAGGTCATGATCCCGGAGTCCCAGGATGGAGTCCCTCATGGGGCTCCCTGCTCGGCAGGGAGTCGCCTTCTCCTTCTGACCATACCCCCTCTTGTGCTCGCTCTCTCTCTCTCAAATAAATAAAATAATAAAATCTAAAAAAAAAAAAGAAGTGGTATAGATATGCAATGGAGCCATCAAAAAATATGAAATCTTGCCATTTGCATGACGTGGATGGAACTAGAGGGTATTATGCTAAGCAAAATAAGTCAGTTAGAGAAAGACAATAATCATATGATTTCACTCATGTGGAATTTAAGAAATAAAACAGAAGAGCATAGGAGAAGGGAGGGAAAAATTAAACAAGATGAAATCAGAAAGGGAGACAAACCATAAGAGACTTCTTTTTTCTTTTTTCCAAAGGAGACTCTTAATCATAGGAAACAAACTGAGGGCTGCTGGAGGGGAGGGGGTGGGGGGACGGGGTAACTAGGTGATGGGCATTAAGGAGGGCACAGGATGTAATGAGCACTGGGTGTTATATACAACTGATGAATCACTGAACTCTACCTCTGAAACTAATAATACACTATATATTAATTCATTGAGTTTAAATTAAAAAAAAAAAAAAGGAACCTTAACAGGAGGCTCAAAAAATGATCAAAACTATTATTTGGGATGGCTAGGTTAACAGTGCTGGAGGGGTCCAGGATTTATGAGCACTAAGTCTTAAGTTAGACTTCTTATCTTACAGATTTATTTAAAATAAAGGCATATTTATATTCTTTAACTTTTATACATAAGAAGCCATTCTAAGGGGCGCCTGAGTGGCTCAGTCAGTTAAGTTTCCAACTCTTGATTTCAGCTCTGGTCAAGATCCTGCGATCATATCGAGCCCCAGGGACTGGCTCCACACTCAGTGCTGAGTCGGCTCCGGATTCTCTTTCTCCCTCGCGCCCCCCCCCAATAAATAAATTAAATCTTTTTTAAAAAGCAATTCTAAGATTTAATTCCTTATAACACTAACAGATACAAAAGTGTAAACCAGGGGCGCCTGGGTGGCTCAGTCGGTTAAGCGTCTGCCTTCCGCTCCGGTCATGATCCCAGGGTCCTGGGATCGCCCTGCTCAGCAGACAGCCTGCTTCTCTCTTTTCCTCTGCCTCCCCCTCTGCCTTCTCCCAGTGGGGACGGAAGCCCTGGAGTGGGTCAGTCCCTGGTGAGGGAGGGTAGAGACGACTGTGCAGCCACGGGAATGAACCCTGGGAGCCCTGCACACCCACCCCGGGGCATAAGAGAACCGCTCCCTTCCTCAGGCTTCCTTTCTCCCAGGTGAGGAAACTCTCAGCAGGATTCAGTTCAAGGTTCTGCCCCAAATAACCTTCCCAGTCACTGACCCTAATCCAGAGCACAGAACTTGAATTTCCCAGACTTTCTCAATGGAAACAGTTTACACTGAGGTGCACCTACATTATGGAGAACTCCAATTTATGTCTAGAAAATGCCCAAGGGAACAACAGTTACAGCCTCATAAAGGTTGCCATTGCCCCTTCGCCTGAACACACCCACCTTCACATGTGCGTCCCCAGATTTGCTGGCCTCTGTAACTTCTCTCAGCATAAAGAGCTCCTTCCATGCTGGGTATGAGCAGGTAGGACTCCAGCAGAGGGAGGCTCCCCAAGACCAAGTAGGCCTTCAACCACTTCCCTTTTCAAGCTCAAGGGGAGGCCTCATCTTAGAAACACTGACCTCAGGCCTCTGCTTCCCCCTGGAGGTGCTTTGGACCACCACTGATATTTTAAGTGACACAAACTCATTGTTTGAACAATCCAGCAAAATTACTCAAACCTCGTGTTTATATATGGAGGGCAGAAAATTGTAAGGCACTCTGATAGCTCAGTATGAAACTCCACAAGTAATTATTGTTTTCAAAAAAAGATTAAGGGCACCTGGGTGACTCAGTCGGTTAAGCGTCTGATTTAGGCTCAGGTCAGGATCTCAGGGTCCTGGGACTGGACCCCAGATAGGGCTCCCCGTTCAGCAGGGAGTCTGTCCCTCTCCCTCTGCTCCTCTCCCTGCTTGTGCTCTCTCCCTCTCTCTCAAATAAATAAATAAAATTTTTAAAAACAAACAAAAAATTGAATGAAAAATGTTAATTATTATTTCCAGGCCAAGAATGAGTTTTATGAATTCTTAATTATACTTGAACACTTCTGGTCTGTACATCTAAGCCCCGGAAATCCCTTTGAACAAACCAAACTAAAAGAACAGATTTAAGAATGTTACTACCCATGCTGTGAGGGAAAAAGGGGAACAAGAATTTTTAATACAAGCAGAGGCACCTGGCTGGTTCAGGCTGGACAGCATGCATCTCTTCATCTTGGGGTTCTGAGTTCAAGCCCCACACTGGGTGTAGAACTTACATAAAATAAACAAATAAGGCCTATTTTTAAAAGACTTTATTTGACAGAGAGAGGGAGATAGTAACAGAGGGAACACAAGCAGGGGGAGCAGTAAGCAGAGGGAGAGGGAGAAGCAGGCTCCTTGCCCAGCAAGGAGCCCCATGTGAAGCTCGATTCCAGGACCCTGGGATCATGACGTGAGCCAAAGGCAGACACTAAACTACCTGAGCCACCCAGGCGCCCCAAATAAGGCCTATTTTTTTAAAAAAACTAAAAAATAAATGATTAAAATTATATTTTAATCGTTTTTTTAATTTTTTATTTTTCTTTAATTTTGGGGGACCCCTGGATGGATCAGTTGGTTAAGCGTCTGCCTTTGGCTAACGTCATGATCCCAGGGTCCTAGGATGGAGCCCAGCCCTGCATTGGGTTCCTTGCTCGGCAGGGAGTCTGCTTCTCCCTCAGCCTGCCGCCGGCCCCGCTCGTGCTCTCTCTCTGACAAATAAATAAAATCTTTTTAAAAAAAATTTTTAGGGGCGCCTGGGTGGCTTAGTTGGTTAAGCGACTGCCTTAGGCTCGGGTCATGATCCCAGAGTCCCGGGATCAAGTCCCGCATCGGGCTCCCTGCTCAGCGAGGAGCCTGCTTCTCCCTCTGACCTTCCCCTCCTCTCATGTACTCTCTCTCTCTCTCATTCTCGCTCTCTCAAATAAATAAATAAATCTTTAAAAAAAAAGAATTTTTATTTTTTTAAAGGTTTATTTGAGAGAGAGAAAGAGAGAAAGAGCATGTGGAGGGGGAGGGGCAGAGGGAGAGAGAGAGAGATTGCTGAAGCCACTCCCCACTGAGCCCGGAGCTGGTGGGGGCGCTCCAGCTCACAACCCTGAGATCACGACCTGAGCCGAAACCAAGGGTCGACTCCTTAACCCATTGAACCACCAGGCGCCTGCACTCAGTAAAGATCCTGGGAGGAAAAGCACAAGAATTTCATAAACGGAGTTCCAAGTAGTTATTTCTTTGCTTTCTTCGGATGTAAATATCCACAAACAAAAAATAAACCATTTAAAATGAGCTATCCAGGGGCACCTGGGTGGCTCAGTCGCTAAGCGTCTGCCTTCTGCTCGGGTCATGATCCCGGAGTCTCAGGATCGAGCCCCGCATCGGGCTCCCCGCTCAGCCGGGAGCCTGCTTCTCCCTCTCCCACTCCCCCTGCTTGTGTTCCCTCTCTCGCTGTGTCTCTCTCTGTCAAATAAATAAATAAAATCTTTAAAATAAAATAAAGTAAAATGAGCCATCCATTCACTGTGGGGAAATGATGAACAATTAAAATACTGGGACTGTTAGAACCATGGAGAACCAACAGTTGGTAATGATGCTGAGAATGAAAGATGGTAATCTGGCAATTCGGCAGGCGGGAGGTAATTGAAGTCCAGGAATTCACTACCAGCCGTAAGGAGGGCTCGGCTAGCAAAACAGGGTTGTGGATTTCAGACCTTGCTTCCCAAACATCTGGAACGTTCAGGAGGAAACAGGCCCCCGGTGGGGACAAAGGAGGGGTTGGGGACCCCACAGACCACAGCGCCTCCCACGCACAAACGAGAACGAGCCACGACGGTCCCCTGACGACCCTCCCCGCGGTCACCGCTCAATCGGAGGCGACGCGGCTGCGGGCGCAGAGCTGCCCTGAGGATCCGGGGCCGAAGTGGGGGTGCGCAGGAACGAGGTCCTCGCAGTCACGCCACGCGACGTAAGGGATTCAGGTCGGAGCGGCGCCACCGGGGCCCCGGGTCCGCAGACTCCGGAGAAGACACCGGGGAGATCAGTCCGACCACCGCGGGATCGCTCCTGCGGCTACTGACACGTCCTACCCCGTCACCAGACATCACGGGCGCACTCACCATTTGTACATTTCCTCGCTACCCAATGGCCTCCCTCCAAGTCCCGCGAACATACACACCAAAGCGGAACAGAAACAACACCAGGGCAATGTGGCCCCTAAAAGCAGGTGACCCAGGATACACAGAGAAGCTGAAAAGAGCAGGGACCAGCGCCGTGGTTGCGCAGCAACGCCCCTCCCACCGACCAGCCGACACCCCTGATTGGACAGTTCACAAGGCCTCGCCCCCCCATGCCTGAGTGACAGCAGGGCCGGGCGTTCGGTACCTGAGTTTAACCCGGCCAGAAGGCGTCCTGTCTAGGAACACGTGCGTTGTAACTTAGGGCTGCCAGGACACGCCTAGAAGTCTGACCCTTCTTTGCAAACACACTTAAAAGTCACTTCTCTAGGCGCAATAATTAGGCTAGCTCTGAAACCCTGCACCATAGCGTTCATGAGGTTGAAATTAGCAGGAAATGTAAAGCTTGTCCTTTGGAGACTTTTAGCCCGTATCAGCTGTTGTGTCTCTTCAGACCTCACTAAAATCCACCAGCTATCTCTGCAAAAGCCAGGGCTCAAGGTAAACTAATACAGTTCCGGCCTATGAATAGGCAAGGTCCTATATTCCTTAGCAACTAACCCAGCCTAAGACCCCATCCAGTTTATACCGGCTCTCAGAGCATGGCCAAAGCGCCTCCTCCTTGTCCTAAGACAACTACCTCAGGAGCGGAATTTTGCCTCTTCCTGGTGTTGTCTCCACCTTAACGTGAAGAGTATTACCTATATTAGTTCAGTGCGCATGCTCCATCTTTCCTCGTGCATAATCTTAAATTTCCCCACCCTTTTCATCGAAATGTATATTATCACACCCCTGATTATTAAACACACACACACACACACACAAACTTGTTTTCTCCCTCTTCAGGGAGGTGAATTAGAGGCTTTTCTTCACGTCTCTTCCTTTGGCTGCAAATCAAATAATTCTTCCTTGCCGCAAACCTGTCGTCTCAGCAATTAGCTTTGTTGTGCATCCGGGAGACAGCTCCATTTTGATCTTTGATTCTTGACAATTGGACTCTGTCATGATTTTGCCCAAAATGCTCACAAGCACAGTACCAGGGATGCAATAGGTGGGCAACCTTCCAGAACTTCAAAGTCAGAAAAACAAGGCTGGAACCAAAACCAGCACTTAAGAAGAGGTACTTAGAATGGTTAAATTTAGAAGAAAAAAATTTTTTTGATTTATTTTTGAGAGTGTACAAGCAGGGGGAAGGGCAGAGGGAGAAGAGACTCCCCACTAAGCAGGGAGCCCCACGTGGGGCTCAATCCCAGGACCCTAGGATCAGGAGCCAAGCCAAAGGCAGACACTTAACCGACTGAGCCACCCAGGTGCCCCTAGAAAATGTTTCCGACATGAAAACGCAGATACCATGTGCAAATATAAGCAGGGACTCTTTCTCGCCGGCGATCCAATCACTCCCCATGGTCCTGATCCATTTCTTTCTTGTGATTACACCAGTTAATCCCATCTATAATGAGACTTTCCAGAAAACTGGGTTTCATCAAATTAACAATCCCGCTGATGGGTGAGTCTAGGATACTAGGGAGTAGCCTTCATTCTGACAATGATGTCACTCTGTGAGAGATCACTACCTCTCAGTTCTCTGAAGTGGTCACTGTTAAGGTCATCTGAGTCAAACTGAGCTACCTAAATCCTCACCAACACTGAGGAGTGTTGGTGCATCCACCTGCACTGAAGCAGTAACTCCACCATGCCCAGGGATTAAAAGCATCCCTGGAGCCATCTATCAGGTGGCAACTGAAGGGCAGAGGTAAAGAACCATAACTGATCTCAATGAAGACACAAGGAGGGCCAGTTTTCAGCCAGTGCTCCTCCCACAATGGGGACACTGCAGGCAGTAACATCAACAGCCAGTGAGCCAGACAACAGAAGAAAAGTTTTTATTCTGCCTCAAGAATCAGGAGATGGAGAAGATACTTCCATTTCAGTATGTTTTTCCTTGTCCCTTTCAGATCTATTTGGAAAACAATAGTTTGGGAGCTGGTTCCCAGGAAATCACTGATTTCCTAAAGTTAGGAACACCTCTGGTTTTTGTTCTTTTGTGTTGTTTTTTATCTCCTAACTCATCTCCACCTCATATAAAACATACTAAGAATGTGCATTCACCAGAGAAGATGCAGAAGTCTGGCTCCCCTCTCTCACACCACTGAGCGTCAGGAAGATGGTGCTGAAAAAGCTACATTTCATCTCTGCATTTCCCTGCCCTACTTTCATTGGCACCCGTGGGAACTGTACAGTTCCAGTAGTGGCCCCATCTGGACAGAAAATGCTATGTGCTTCCTGCACAAATAGCCATCAATTGTTCTTCTCAGAGTGCCTGGGTGGCTTAGTTGGTTAAGCATCTGACTCTTGAATTGGGCTCAGGTCTTAATCTCAGGGTTGTGAGTTCAAGCCAAGTGTTGGGCTCCAGGCTTGGTGTGGAGCCTACTTAAAAACAAAAAATATACGTAATGAATTGTTCTGCTCAGGTAACAACAGGGACAGTCTGGTCCTGTCCTGAAGTCGCATCACGGTGCTCTCAAAGGCCCTTTTATCACTGTGATGGGCATACTAGACATGTTATCTTGAGGTTGTGTTTGGTAAGAGCAGGTAGTTGTTGACCTCTAATCATGGCAACATGAGGGCCATAATGTACTCAAGAGTGTTGGTGCATCCACCTGCACTGAAGAAAGCCTGTGAAAATTCAAGATCCATTCTACAAAATGGTCTCCTAAGCCAAACAAAGAGCTCCACTTACAGTACTCAGGGAGTTCTTTGTACATATGGAGATATTTTTCCCATGAGGTTGAACTATGCCCCTAATGGAATGAGTTAACCAAGGTTCAAGAAGTTGCTCTCAGCTCTGAATAAAAGACAAGGTAGCAACTGATCCTTCTTGTGGTGGAAAGCATGAACTATCGTTAAATGGAAGATCATCAAGATACAGGTTTGTGTTTTGGGGTGCGTGGCTCAGTTGGTATGTAGCCGACTTGATTTCAGCTCAGGTCATGATCTCAGGGTCCTGGGATCAAGCTCTGGGTCAGGCTCTGCGCTCAAGGGGAAGTTGGCTTGAGGATTCTCCCTCCCTCTCTTTTTGCCCCTCCAGGCCCCCCACCTCGCCCCACGCTCTCTTTCTAGAAGAAAATATTTTATTTGGGGCGCTTGGGTGGCTCAGTCATTAAGTGTCTGCCTTCAGCTCAGGTCATGATCCCAGGGTTCTGGAATCAAGCCCCACATCGGGCTCCCTGCTCACAGGGAAGCCTGCTTCTCCCTCTCCCACTCTCTCTGCTTGTGTTTCCTCTCTCGCTGCCTCTCTCTCTGTCAAAATATAAAATCTTTAAAAAAAAAAAGGGGGGGTGTTTAGTTTGTTTTTTTTTTTTTTTAATAAGTTGGCTCCTTACCCAACATAGGGCTTGAGCTCATGACTTCGGAATCAAGAGTTGCATACTCTAGTGAACTGAGCCAAGCAGATGCCCCCTAGGTTTACATTTTTTTAAATTGTTTGTTCATGATCTAATTGAAATGTTAACATGGTGTTTTAGGTGGCAGTAGGAGGAAGAATCAACCAAATTGTTCTGATGGGGAAGGTACAAATTAGCGAAGGTTTCAAAGTATGGGAAAGTACCACCCAAACAAGAATCAAAATAGTCATCACAGAATGTTATTAAAGGCATTACCTCTCAGAAGTTTCACAGGCCAGGTGCACTCTTACATTTCCAGGGACATCAATTCATCTGTAGTGTAAAATGTCATACACACCACTGAGAGAAGTTTTGCTTCCTAATCCTAAATCTTTATAGAGACAATGAGGACAGTGACGATGAGAGTAGTAACAGGAATGCTCACATTAATAATAGACACATTAGGGAGGCTTACTAAGTGTAAGGCACTCCACTCAGCACCACAGGTAGATCGGCTCATTGTTCTTCATCTTCACAGACTTCTTAGTAAGGAAGTATTAATATGATCCCATTTGATGAGAGAGGAAACTGCGACATAAGGTGAGTGACCTGTCTCACGTTACAAAGGCCATCAGTAGGGGTGCTCAGATTCAGCACCAGGCTGCCAGACTCAGACCAAGCTTTGCCACTGAACACACTTCACCTCTGATTGGGAAATTGGGACAAATGGTTCATTGCCTAGGGTGGGCTCCTTTGTGTGACTCAGAAACATCTTTATTCTTCCCCTCTAGCCTTATTCAAATCTGCACTAAAGGGGCACCTGGGTAGCACAGCCAGTTAAGTGACCCACTCTTGGTTTCAGCTGAACATTGTGTAAATACATACCATACACATAACATAGATTATTAGACTATAATCGCATCTTGCAAAATATATATATAATTTGAAGGTCACAGTCTACACCATGTGCAAGATCTATGTGGAGAAAAGTCTAGTGGTTCCTGAGGAAGAGACAGAAGCATCGCCTCCAAGTCAACTTTGGTGCGTGGAAGACTAATGAATTCAATGATGCACATCTCCCTACAGACAGCCACAAAACTTAAAGAATTTAATTCCAATCAAATTTGCCTCAGAATCTTATTTTCTGCCCCATAATGAAATAATTCTAAATGATATCTCTGCAAATAAGTCCAAAGGGTAGTCAGGAAATTAGTGCAAATAAAGAACGAAGTTCAAGTTTCCCCGGATGCACCAAGTACAAAAATAATGAGAAATGATCATTTAACGGTCTGTTGCCACCACACGAACTGACCCGTTGTTTGTCATGGGGCAAGAAGGGGGTTGTGCCACCGAGGGATATTTGGCAATCCCTGGAGACACCTTTGATTGTCATGACTTGGGGAGGTGGTTGTGTTGCTGCAGACGTCTAGGGATCCTCTCACACACACACAGTGTTCCCTTTGGCAAAGAACATTGATAAAAAATGTGAGCAGTGTCAATGTTGCAAAGCTGTGAGCTACTCAGATGATCCCTTGAAGGTCTACA